ATATTTTTTCAAAGAAAAAGGTTGAAATGATAAGTTTAAAATGCGTTGTTTTAGAGCTCTTTTATGAAAACTACTTGATTTTCGTCAAGAGGAACATTCCCCATTGCAGGGTGTTTAGATCTCCGACAGAGCGTGCGGAACCACTGTGACCCTTATATGGAACCTCAGGGTTTCGTGAACCACCATGTAGGCATCTAGGAAGTAATCTACCCTGGTATATTATTACTAAAAAAATTAAAACACCCAAACTCGTTCCATTTATCAAGTATATTCCCAATAACGTCGTATCAGAGTAAACAACGCCAGACAGCCAGTATCTAGTATATAATTTTTTTTCATAATGAGTTTCTGAATGTCCCGATCGATTCTGATCATCTCAAAAATCCAACTCATAATCACACCAAATTCAAAAAAATCACATATGTCAATTATTAAAGAAATCTGACGCCCCAGCCCGTTTTATTATTAATAAATTAATTGATTAACACTATTTTATTGGCTTCACCTGTATGTATGTATGTTTGTTTGTAACTCCAGAATTATCGACATTATTGCTTGATATATTCGCAGGTAGATGGCGCCGTACGTAACCTCCTTAATATACTCGAACTCACTTTACATGTATTTCTTCACTTGAAAAAAGTATGTTTTTATCAACACGCGCGCCTGCTGCCTTATTTGTAACCCTCCTTTGCGCGCCTGCTGCCTTGGTAGCTGATTTTCAGGCTCCCTTTCCGGAATCGGAAAATATCAATGATAATTTTTTTCTAAACAATATACGGCTGATTGATCCCAAAGTTTAGATGAAATAAATATAGTTTAAAAATACTAAAAAACACGCTTTAATAGCATACGGAACTACAGCGCCATCTGCCCGTGAGTTGATCAAGCAATAATGTTGGTATATCAAGGAGTTACGTACAGCGCCATCTGCCAGCGAATAGATCAAGCAATAATGTCGATAATTCTGTCGAATACAGATTGCGATATGAAATGAAAAGGCGAGTTACAAACAAACATACATACATATAGGTGAACCTAATATAAAGCCTGTAAAATATAAAAAGTTGTTCTACTAGCTCAACAGGGATGGATACAGTTCAAGATTTCTCATCAGTAGGAAATTATTTCTTACTATGGTTAAAGATATTGACTTCCAAAGAAACATCACCTTCTTGTCTGGTGTTTTCAGTTGTTTGACGTTTCGTCTTCGACTTTGAAGCCATTCTCAAGAACCTATCATTACACTGAGGCCTCAATCTGCCTACTCCTCAGGTAGTGATATGCTGTAAGGGTTTTGTGACTTGACGACGGGGTCTCATTCTAATAGCTGGTCTCTGCAAGAGTCTCAATCTGCTATGGTGGGGTTGTTACTGGTGTGTAACGTTGCAGACCTCGCTTCTGCAAGTCACAACCTGGTTGCCACTACCAACCCCTACCTCGTTCCCACAACCGGCCCACCCCTCCACTCTTCCAAGGACATAAATACCAGATAAGACCAGACGGTCGACACACAGTCGACACTGTGGAGTAGGCAAATTGAGACCCCAGGGTCAAGTCACAAAACCCTTCCAGCGAGAGAGTATTTTTTTCAAAAAGTGAAAATTTTCAGTTTTTGAAAAATTTTGCAAATTTCGTTTTTTTTGAATAAAAATGGCCATCAAATGATTGAAAAATATATATAGGGTTTCTATTCAAAATTTTTGACTTGGGTCCATTTTCGATTAACCCTGTATAGACTGTCAAGTATTTTTTCATTATAAATATTAAATCTGATGAACTATATTAATTACATATAATTCATTCAATTCCAACAAAATATTATCATTATTATTATTATTCCTTCCAAAAATGCATAAAAGATGCAGGAGAGAATTACTAATATGTAACAGATATGCCTTCATGAGGCATGCTTAATCAATTCAATGTTTAGCACAATAAATGGAAGAAATATGAAATAATATGTGAGTATAAAAATTCCAATTAATTACTGGTTTAATACCAAGTTGAATCATCAAAAAGTATTTATTATCTAAGTTATATAGACTGCTACTCAAATTCGAGTATATGCATGGGGATCTCATAAACAGTGGAGCTTGTCCCCATTAGACTGGCCCAGCAATTTTTTCCGACATTATTTACAAATAACCTTATGGAAGTATTCAACTCCATAGACAGTAAGTCTAGTTAGTATATTAAGTTCAATGTTCATAAAAATGAGTGATAAGGATGTCATCCTATGAAATTTAAAAAACTGGTTATAAAGATTACAGTTATCTGATGTATGATCTAAACTCATTTATAATTAACAACATGGTCACTTCCTGTAGGCATGTTGAGAGACACGAGGCATGTTGCTGATGAAACCTGAAATCATTTTACAAAAGTTTGCCACTTACCTTCTTCTGGAAATCCTTGACCAAGGCCTGGAAACACTGAAAGTGGATTGATTGCTACTGATACTTGCAAAAGATCTTCCACTGGAAGTAGAATTAAAATTTGCCTTAAGCTGAAAACAAAATTAACAAAAAATTACAAAGGCGCAGTTATGAATATAAACAAACTGTAAAGGGTTAACTATACCTGCTTAAAATTGTATTCCTTTTGTTTAGAAACACTGTCTGCAGTACAAGGTTTTGCGTTGTTTGCCTTAGTGCTTGAATTTCCCATGAAAATATTCTTTTAGAGCATGGCAATCCTTCTCAGACCTTAAATTTACCAACATTTCAATTTTTATTGACCTCAAAAACCAGGAAAAAGTTTGTTAGTTTTGCTTCTTTTATGATTATTGATGACACACAAAATCGCAATTCTGAATCAGCGTTGCCAACCTAGTAGACTAGTAGAGTGAATTTATTTCTTGTCCAGAACATAGACATGATAATATGAACTAACCGTGACATTACTTTTACATATATTCCACTTGTGGATCACACATCGTCTTAGCCACTGCGTTACAGCAACATGTGAAGAATCAAATCCCAAAATTTTCACAAAGGAAATATGCAACAGTTAACTAGTTTAGTGATCCAATAGAGCCCTGAAGAAGAATTCAATTGAATTCGAAACGTCGGCAATAATACAATTGTTTTTTTAAATTTGATTATGTTACCCAACCAACACCCCTTTTTCTGAAATATGTAACATGTAAAATATCGTGACAGTGTATCTGACGTTGGGTGAATGAGTGACGTAAATGCGAAGACATCAATCTCTTTCATTATTTTTTAGTTGTTGAGTCAATGTTTTCTCTTCAATGAACAGTCCATATTATGACGTTCCTGGTCAAGAGTTGTGCGATATTAGTAGAGGTCATATTTACTAATTTTTACCTTTGTAACCTATATTATAATGAAAAAACACTATTAGATTTCTTATAGAGATCATACTTGAGAAAAAAAGTGAAATCGTTTCATATTGAAATTTTGAACAGAAACGTTCCGCAAAAATATATTGGCTACACTGAACAATTGTCTTTTCATCGCCCTCTACCCATTAAAAGCCGAAATACACGTTTCCATTGAAATTTATTTTCGAAAATTATGTATAATAATTAAATGTGGCACTAATCTAATTCCAGATCGGTCATTCTCGTCAAAAGTTATTTACTCTCTCTGCTCGATCAGAATACATCCAGCAGAAATAGCGAATAATTTTTGGTGGAAATGGCTCAATCTGGGAGTCAACAAAACACAACTAGTGTCATTTGGATAAGCGCAACATTCAAATAGACAAATAAATATATTCAGCGATGTATCATGCGCTTTCAGCAGTAAACTTATTCAGTGGTTGATTTGAAACACATTTGGTTTCTGTTGATTGACCAAAAAGGCTCATTAAACATCTTTGAATAAGCTAATTTGACTAATGAATAAAATATACCTACTCAACACTTAATGCTTTTTTTTCAAGTTATTTATTGCCAACTCTTTATTGGCACTCAATAAAGAAAGTGAATTATTATTGATTGATTATTTTTAAAATACGAAGCCACGTCTAAGAATTACGAGGAATTAAGGACAGATAGATAATTGGGTAAGGAATAAACACACATTTTCCTGACTACGATTCAGGTTTCTTCAATCTTGTTTAGTTATTTAAATAAAAGTTGTCAGGTATGCAGAAAGCCAATGTAATTGCTTAACCCATTCTTTAGCGAAAATCCAATAACTGGTTTCAAATCTACTTTTAAAAAATCCACGCCTAATAAAAATGTGAATATAATGTAAACTCAAGCAAAAGAAAAAACTCTATAGGTATATTATTATATGATGGGAAGCGAAGTGAAAGTCGAATCTAAATAATATATTTCTTATTATCATAGTAAATATAAGTCTCTTTGTTTAGATGCAATGTAACCTATAATACGAACTGAATTAAATAATAAGAATAAACAAGAACACCATTATTAATCTGGGAAGTAGTTGTTTTTCGGAAGGCATTCACTAGAAATTACTGTGTAGGTAAACTGATAAAGATGAATATTTCAAGAGTATATACTATGGTATTGGTGGGATGTTTCTTTCCCGTTTGGAGCTTTGTTCGCGAGATGGAGCTGTTACTAGTTGACAATATTTCTCTTAGACGAAGGTTTCATACATGCAGTCGCGAGCCGCGTTGAAATTGAACGAGTCTCTGGCTCAATGCATTTGGGTCGAGAATATCTCAATACTGGTCTGTACGTAATCTACTCGATCGATTTTAGCGTGGTTCTGCTGCTGTGAGGTATCTTGCATAAATGTTTGTCGGATACATTTCAATGTAATTCGTGGTATTGGCCTTGAAAGTAGTTGTTGGGCAAATTGGACGGCTCAAGAGTATTCATGGAAAAAAATCTATATTATAGACTGGCTTTCAGAATATTTCGCCAAGTGAGTATGAACTGTTGCTCAGATTAACTTTACTGTGACGTTACTTGACTCTTGAACAAGCAGTAAACCTTTTGGCAGGACGGCACCAGTAGCTCAGGCCACTTCACGAAGAAGAAAGAAGAATGAATAATTTTTTACATCAGATATCAGATTATTACAATATCGGTTCATAATGATTATTGTGCTTTTGAATGTAGACCTTTCCAAATAATCTAAATATGACCCATTGAGGACTTATAAGACACATCAAATGGATCAGCAGACAGTCTCCCAAAATGAATCAGATAGCGAAAAAGGTAAATTGGTTGTTTTGAGTATATCAGATATGTTGACAAATAACGTTTCTGCTTTTTGTTTAGATTTCCAAGTGCAGATACGAGAGTTGGTCTCAGAAAAAGAGAAAATTCAAGAAGAGTTCAACATACAAAGAGCAAAGTTGAAAGATCTATTTCTGCAAAAAGAAGGTTGGTATACAATAGTATCAGCCTTTTTCTCATTAGTAACATTCACTTGATGTAATAAATCTTTGTGAAATGTCTATTCAAATGTTCTAAACTATTATATTTCAGCCGAGTTGTCTAGAAAAACTGAAGAAAATAAACAGCTGCATAAACAGGTTGCTAAATTGAAAAATGAACTGGATGATTGTAAAAGCCAGTTAGTTGTTGATAGTATTACTTTAGAATCAAATTTTGAGGTAGAAAAACGCAAAGCTGAAGAAGAAATAGCAACATTACAAAGATTAATACATGGTAACTACTTTCTTGATACTTTCTGTGAATTCAGATTCATATTGATTAGTTTTGATCAGTTTCTTTCCTGTTGAGTGTGGTATAAAGAAGGTCCAATAAAAATGTTTTGAAATACAAGTTAAATATTGAATATATATAACATAACATATAACTGAATATTGATTTCTCAATAATTAGGTAAATTGTTACTACAGTACTAGAAATATGCTTTTTTAACGAAATCAGTGTTTTTTCAGTTTTAAGCTTGCTATGGTTCTATTTATTTCCTGCACAATGAATCAATGGAACTACTTTTTCATATCAAATATTTTTTCCTTATTCCACCAAAAGCTCATTAGCTCATTACAAGCTTAGACACTGGTGTAGCTACTCATTTGTGTAGAATTTTCATGCAAATCTGTATACCAATATGGCTTGCTCAATTTCATTTACAATTAAAAAAAAAGGTTGGATACTGTTAATATCACTGTTCATGTGACGGTACAGTGTTGCGTATTCTGCAATGTAATGATGTACATTGAGAGGTACATGTGAATTGTGATCACACTGACATTATTTTAGGTTATATATGCAAATGCATTAAAGTTGACCCATTTCTTTGAATGACTTTTGTGAATCTGAGAATCTAGAATTATTAACAGTGTGGGTTGTGAATAAACTTAATGAGAATGGGCAAGAGGTAAAAAGAATTCCTATTATTCTTTTAATTTTTCTTGGTATTCTATTTTGGCATTGTTTCTGAAAAAAACTTACATATGTCCGTCTTATTTTTCAAATAACCATAATTCCCTTTTCTTCTCTCAACTTGGTTGATGAACTTTCTTCACCTCTTCAATCTATCAATATAGAGATGATGTAAAACTTACCATTGGCACCCAAAACAACTATTCAATCATTAATATTGATGTCTCCAGTTATGAGATGAAAATCTGTTTTGTGCATTTTTCTATATTATATTCTAGCAGATTGTCTTGATTGAAGAGGAATATAAAATCAATATAACTTGCAATTGTAATCATTACAAATTGTTTTAAACTTTTCGCATGGTGTTCACTTTAATTTTGACAATTTTACTTGTTGAAATAATTTTCAAAAAGCATTGTTGAAAACTACTTTTTTAATAAATTCCAATCTTACTGATTTTATTCACAACTTGTTCTCAGTCCTTGGGATTTTGGAATATTAAGACTACTCAAAAATCTACTTTATCATTATAGCACAAATTAATACATGTAATTATTACATTCCTTCTTCATTTGCCATCATCAATTTTATATGTAACATAATTTGGCTGGTCTGGAGAGAAAAATAGGTTGCATATGAAACTTCATACATGTTTTTTCTCGAAACATAACATTCTTACTGTTCATCATTTTTTGTGTTTTATATCATTTTGAAAAAGTATACTAGAAGCCCATTTTTTTGAGCTTCAAATAATTGTATAATTTTTAGAAAGTGAGGCAGAATCAAGTTCTACAAGGACTCTTTATGATACAGAACTAACAAAATTAGAAACTTACATACAGCAGTTGCAAAAAGAAATTATAGGTTTGAAACGAGAGAAAAACCAAACACATCACATATCACAGGTCAGTATTTGAACATTATTATCGCTGTTGTTTGCAAATATTCAAATGAAAGGCAACTAATTAGAATTCTTATCTAGTCACAGGAATGTAGTATATATTTCATAAGAAAATGAATTAAAATATTGATAATTTTTCCAGAATCACTTCCACAATAATATTACCAAAATAATTGTAATTAGAATAATATAATAGAGATGGTAAGTGAAGAATATTATTAAGGTAGTGTTTCTTTTGGTCCAATGTGAATTATATTTGCATGAGTCACTATTTTTACAAATAAAATTTTGTTTAGATTCATCTCTACACTAATATATCAAGTATTATTACTTTTACTTTGCATAAAAAATATTCTTCAGTAAAAAGTTCAGAAAAACCAATGTCAATAAAAAACGTGGCAGTAAAAATTATAAACATCTGCAAAGGTTTCCATATGGATAATTTGAGGTTGGAAATCGAATTTGCATGTATTGTGATGGTCATCAATATCGATATACATTTCAAAGCTGGAAATATGGTACTTGAAATTATTATATAACAAATTTTAAAATCAGAATATATCTAATGAATGTTATCACACAAAGTTTGTATTCTATTTTTCAGGATCATAGTAGTTTAGCTTCAAGTCAGGTATTGAATGTCCTAACAAAAGGATTGAAAAAGCTTGGCGCAGACTCTTTCTCTTCTCAAGAAAGTGTGGATGATAGTTCCAAGAAGGTTTGTTTCAGTCTACCATATAGATAGGTTACTTACATGAACTAAATTATGCTGGGGATGTATTGAAAAATGTTAATTCACGAATATGAAAATTATTTGAGTTGAACATACAATTTCGTTAACTGTTTTTAGTAGTATTATGTTTATACAGAATTTTCATAAATTCAATATAAACGACTGCATAGCTTCTGATAGAATCGTGAAAGGGTAAGACCTCGTTAATACCTAATTCGCAAAAGTTTCGACTTTTGACAGCTGGTTAACGGAAAAACAGATTTCAACAAACAGATATATGCACAGTTCCTAATGCCTCACCAATTATCTTCGATTTGGGCAGTATATAACATCGGTCAAGGGATTCATTAAAACCACTCAAACATCTTGGATATTTATGTAAATTACTCTAACCAGCTGAGAATAGAGATATTCCACGTAATAGCAACCACGTAATAGCAACTTCATTTTTTTTTTTCATAAATTACTTGATAAAGCTAGTGTGTTAGCGAAACATGTTCATGTAACAGCCAAATCAATCAGAAAAAAAAAAAATAGAAACTTCAATTTGATTGCAGCAAAATTTCAAACTGTAAGGAGCGAGTTGATTTGTATGAAAAACAGAGGAAATTATGATGTACGGAGGAAAAAATAATTCGGTGAAGAAGTACATTTTTTCAATTTTTCATTCATAAAACTGTTCAAGCCTAAAAAATAGCTCGGGGGAAGGGTTTTTTCGTTAGATTCATGTCATGTGAAAAATTTATTTTGAATTAATTCTTAGTATTAGTTGTTTCAAAAGTTTTGTTCATTTTAAAGTCACGTGCATTTCGAGCTCTATATCTCAATAAATATTTGTTCTACTGTGTCGTGGTTTATACATCGATGCTGTTAATTTTTTTCCATATTTCAGTTTTTTTACCTTTTTTCAGCTCATTACTCTATGATAATAATGATAATAGCCTTTATTACCCATCATTTAAAAACCATTTACAGAGATTCATATGGAATACCTGTATGAACCATGAGATTTGAAGTAAATAAACTTTAGGAAACGACGTTGAACTTTTTCAAATAATGTATTATAGCAATTGTAGAATGGAGACCATAGAACATATCATATTCTAATTTTTACCTTACGTAGGCTACATAAAGAGTAAATAGAGCAGATATGTTTGAAAAAGATCTACAATTGCGAACTATAAAGCTACAAACTCTCAATGCTTCACCTACTTTCGATCTAATGTGGTTGGAAAAAGACAAATTTTTATCAAAATATAATTGAGTTACTCCCTGACAGTGAAATGGTATCTACTCGATGATTGTACTCGATGACTGACATTTTCATACTATAAGACACTACTTTACATTTGGATGCATTGAGATATAGTTTGTTAACTTCACACCAAGTCTGTATATTTTCTGTCGTTGCAATGTATTACAGTCTTCGATAGTTTACAATCGACATAATTACTGAGGTCATTAATAAATGATAAAAACAGAAGTGGTCCGAGATTCGACCCCTGAGGTACTCCAGATGAAGGATTGTAATAAAAAGAATCATAGCTGTTATAAAATACAAACTGTTTGCGTTGAAATAAGTAGGATTTTATGAAAAGTACTGCTGAATTATGGAAACCAAATTGGTGGAGTTTTTGTAGAAGGATCAAGTGATCAAGTCGATCAAATGCTTTAGCAAAATCAGTATATATCACATCAACTTGACCTCGATTATCTAAGACACCACTAATATTTTGATTGATCTGTTTGACAATTTTGACATATATCCATGTTGTTGCGGAAATATGATATTACAAACTGAGGAATGTACCCGATTATAGATGACAATTTTGAGAAGTTTAGCAAAGTTCGATAGGATTGAGATAGGATGATAATTCTAAATATCAGAAGGATTTCCAGACTTGAAATGGGACAAACTCGTGATATCTTCCATAATTCAGGATAATAATTATTTTTAACTGCAAGATTGAAAAGTGTCAGTAACGGATAGACCAATACACCGATGCAATCTTTTATCAAAAAGGTTGGATGTATCTTATCAGGACCAGAAGTGAACTTATTTTTTACTTCACGTGCGGCAATCAAGATTTCCTGTTCGCTGATGTTTACAAAGTTTATATTATTATAAAAACAATTTGAAAACAATAATGTCGTTAAGTGCTGCAGTAATAGCTCGACAAATTAACAAAGCTGCAAATTTTCATCACACATACATATATAGGGTACAAATAATGTTAAAGTACTCAAACACATATAAAATTGATTAAAGATATCATACAATAAAAAATGACCAAAAAAGTGTAAAATATTCAAATGCAGTATACCATACTTTGTTTAATAAAAAATACAGTTGATAAAATAAATTAGAGAAAGCGGTCCTCATAGAACTCTTCTAAACTATAATAGGGTCTCTACCACATAATAAGTCTTTTACTGATTTTCGAAATACCCAGCTATCCTCTAAAATTTTAATATGGTCAGGCAAATGATTAAACATCTTGAGACCATTATGAAATATAAAGTATTTGACTAGAGTAGAGGCTGGTATGGATAATCTTAGATCGTTAGATTGACGAAGGGCATAATAATTGGATAACCGCTAAATATCAATTTATGTTTGTTAATTAAACATACTGCTTCTAAAATAAAGATTCCAAAAACTGTCAAGATTTTATGTAATTCAAATAGGGGTTTGCAGGAGTCTCGACTTTTGGCATTACATATGAATCTTATAGCCATTTTCTGAATAATGAACACCGTCTGCATTTGAGTTTTGCAAAATACTCCCCGGAAAGGAATTCTATACCTTAAATGCGACTCAACAAGTGAGAAATAAGCCGATTTAGCGGCAGACAAACCAAGATCCTATATGTTATTCTCACTGCAAAATACCCTGAAGCTAGCTTTTCATTGAGGGTTACAATGTGATCGGCGAATTTGAATTTATTGTCAATTATTACCCCCAAAAATTTAGTACTTGGTCTGTTTTCAGTTATCCTGTCCGCGTCCTATGTTGGTAAAAGAATGCTGTCAATAAAGCAGCGGAATAATATTAAATTTGTTTTGGAAATATTGAAAGACAGCAGATTAGAATCGCACCACTTATTTATTTTTTTTTATATCAGCACTTATATTATAGGTTCTTCACGGCCTTTTTGAAATGAATGTTGCTTAGATTTGCAGATCTCATTTCTAATGGTAAATGATTGAACAACTTACCACCATTATAGTATATGGAATCCTTGATTAAATTCGAAGTTGGGATGGGAAGTCGTAAAGGTATAATTGCTATTGCGAGTAGCATAAGGAGTAGAAGCAAAGTTGAAATGTACCTTCCAAATATTAAACGTATTGAGCGTCGAAGTTCTGCCTCAACCACCATACTCTCCAGACCTTCACCAACCGACTACGTTCTTGTCAAGCACGGCCTTCGTCGACTTCATCGAATGGCGTCTATTTTGGTTAAAATTAATGAGTATTAGCTAAGATTTTACAGTTCAAAAAAGACGATCAAAAACGTACAAAACTTTTGAAACGACCAAATACTGTCAATTAATTTTTGGTGTCACTGTTTTTCGAGTTTGAAAGCCGCAAACTCGAAAAACAGTGACACTGAAAACCTCAGCCGCGAAACTCTAAACCAATTTGTCAATTAACTTTTGTTTTTTTCAATAACTACTCGTCAAATAGTGTGTGGAACACCAAAGGCTAAATAAGAGATTGAAATAAGATTAGATTAGATTTCAGAAAGCGGTTATTTCAGACTGAGGAGGATGCAGTGGTGTTACGTTCCCTTGTTGAACCATTGGCGGACCAAATAAAGGCGCTCAAAGAAAAACTGAGAGCAACAGATTTTCAACTACAGAAATGTAAAGAGTGCGGTCATCGCCAAGATGAGGTAGGACAATAATCACAAACCATATAGAGCTAGTTGGATTCTGCAGTTTACTATTTTACAGACAAATGAAACTGTTGATCAGTCGTCTCAACATGTCAACTTAAATGCAACAACATCAACTAATACGTCATTTGAGTCCCAGAAACTTTCAATATGCGATATGTGTAGCAACTATGAGGCCGAGTTGGTCAAGGAACAGAAAAAAAATAGTGATTTGAAAGCAGAGGTTACAGCTGCAGAAAAGGCTGCTGAGAGACACAAGGAGGAATTGTTGAAAGAAATCGGTTTCAGGAAGGACATGGAGGAGAAATGGAATGAAAAGAAAGAGGAACATAAACAACAGGTGAGTTTTAAGAAACTGCCAGCTACACCTCTATTAAACTGCGAGTTCTAATATTTTTTCAATACAAGGCAAAGTGTTGATTGGTCTAAATTCCCAGGATTTATTTGTGTTAGGGACTTTTTTAATTGGCACAAGGACACTGGTCTTGAGCTCCTTCGGGAATCTGCCAGTGCTCAAAAATGTATTTTTAAAATGCAACAATGCATTTTTTTTTAATAAGTTTGCAGTTAAGTATTTCACTGTTGTATTTCATTTCCACTCCGTTGATCAATTTAGACAGATCTGCTAACTCCAACACTTCGAATTTCTCGAAGAAGTTGTTAATCGATATAACATTGTTCTCATGAAGTGAATCAGATTGATCAATGGTGTTCACAATTTCTTGTACGCTATCAATAAAATAATTGCATAAAATAATGCAGCAACCGCTTCTTCAGGTGACGAAAAACGTTGACCTCTCAGTTTGTTTTTTACATGCGGGAATAAAAAGAAGTCATTCAGTGCCAAGTCAGGACTATAAGGCGGATGACTTATCAAATAGATGTTTTGGGTGCTCAAAAATGCAGTTGTTTAAGCCGATGTGTGAGAGCTCACATTGTCGTGGTGAAGAGTGATCCGTCTTCGGCGGTTGGCTTTCTGATTTATTGGAAGACAACTGGCAAACAAATGGTTGTGTACCACTCAGAATTGACTGTTCTGCGTTGTTCTAGTGGTACGGTTGCGACATGTCCAGTTTTTCCGAAAAAACAGGTGACATTTGCTTGGAAGTGCTTCGTGCTTCCAACTTTTGTTGGATTTGGCTCATCTTGAAACACCCATACAGTCGACTGCTGTTTACTTTCCGACTCATACGCGTAAATTCACGATTTTTCACCTGTCACGATGTCATAGACGTGTTTCGAAGCACCGCGATCGTATTTTTTGAGTATTTCCTTCGACCAATCGACACGAGCCTTTTTTTGAGCGATTGACAAATTGTGTGGGATCCGACGCGAACAATTTTTTTTGCAATATTGAATGCATGCTGGTTCCACTAATGCCTAAGGTTGTCTCAATCTCATGATAGGTCACATGACGATCTTGCCGTATCAGTTCGCGCACAGCAACAATGGTTTTCGGAACAACAACTGATTTTGGACGTCCTTCACCAAATTCGTCTCAGAGTAAACTACGACTACGATTGAAATCATCATACCATCGATATACACTGGTCCTTGATGGAGCTTCATCGCCAAAAATTGAATTAAGTTCATCCATGCAATGTTGCCGTGTTGATCTACGTCAAAAGTTGTAAAAAATAATCGCATGGAAATGTTCACGATTTAATTCCATTTTTGGGCCGAGATGAATCTTTTAAGTTACTGTAAAAAACACAAATAGCGCGCGTATGTCAAAACGTTCTTAGTATGTATAAGCTCAAAAATGTCCAACTTTACGATAGAGCTGTCAGTTCCCAGATTGCAACACTAGGATTGTCAAATCCCGAAACATAAAAGGCAACCCTCGTATCAACTACCCGAAGATTATTAATTTTATGTGGTATGTTGTGATGGTGTTTTATACGTTTCATCAACGAACAATTTTCCATTTAAAATATTTCAAGGTTGCAGAACTAACGAGGGCAACAGAGTGTATGGAGATGGATTTAAAGGAGCTGCGACAGTTTTTTAATCGAACATGTTCTGAAATGAAGACGAGTTTAGAGAAGTTAACCCACGATAGAGAAACAATTCAACAAGAACTCAAAAAGTAATCGTTCTGTTTCATCTGTGTTTTTGTTGTTGCATTATTTTCATTTCCTTTCAGGCTGCAGAAAGAAAATGATAACTTAGTGGGAAAATATACTGTACATTCCCAGGAACTACAGAGTGAAGTTATAGATCTCCCTAATACTGTTGAGGTATGTGAAAATGAGATAATAATTTACCACAAATAAACATTAAAAATATAATAGGAAGAAGACATTCAGTAGTAAATAAATACATACCACCCAACAAGGCAAGACTTGATAGTGGGAGTAGAACTAACCTATAAGTAAATATCCTGAAATGGTATGAGATCATAAAATGGTTTTCAAAAGATCAGACAATAGATATTAACAGATTTTTTTTAATAATAATAATGTACTATTTCTTTTAGATAAATTTTATTCTGTATTTTATATAAATTTATCCATAAAATGATGTCCAATTCGTTTCTAAGTTCATATCTTTCTAAAATAATAATTCATGAAGGAGCGTTATTAGTTATGTGAGGCGCTTTTGGCGATTTTTCGACCCTCTCACCCCCTTGGTGAGATGTCTTGAGATTTGTTTCTAACCCCTCTTTCTTCTCTTGATCTCACATGAGATTTTTCAAAGTGAATATTTTAAGTGTTAATACTTGAATCTATGCGTTTGATTTATACTGAGAAAATCATAATTTGCTTAATTATTTTTCCTTACAACTGGTTCGATGCAAGTATTTGAGATACTGTGTTACTTTGTGGCATCACATAACAGTGATAAATATTCTGTCTGCTTAAAATCTGTTTATCCATATTTCAGTGAAAAAACATTTCATACCTGAAACTATTTTCTCACAACTTTACACTGTCTCTCGCGGATAAATATTACTTCAGAATGGGTGAGATTTGGCTTGACAGCCGCCTCCTAAACGCCTCACGTAATTTATGGACGCCCCAATAGGTTTTTATTATATTCAATCCATTATTGCAATATTTTGGAAAGTTGTTCTGAAATTTGTGCATTCCTTNACATTAAATTACGTGATTCATGTGCAATTCAGTGCAGGTAGCCAAACTGTATTTATTTATGCTAATTCCTTTTTTCGTTCAATTGGAATTGTCTGGGTATATGACTTTCTATATCTTTTGGATAGTAATTCTGAAGTCTGTCAAGTGGGTACTTGAGTCTCTTCGAGCGTGATAACCTGAGTACCTCTTCAAGTGCATTTTCAACTACAACTGATTGGGTATAGAAGATACACTGGAGCTGGAAATAAGAGGCTTGAAGTAAGATACGATTTTTTTTCAATTACAATATCTCTGGTTTTGAAACCAATTTGAAAACTTCCATACTCAATTCACTTAGTTTGTTCAATTTTTTGGACATTTCGGAATTGAATCTCAAATTATTTTTATTTATAGCCAGAGCTTGTTATTCTCTTTCAGAAAACAAATAGATCAATTGATGAAGGAAAGAAAACAGATCCATTCAAATCAAGAAAAACTGGTTAGTTCTGAATCTTTGAATCAAGAAAAGATCAAGGAACAACAAGATAGAATCAATGAATTCACAGAAACAATCGTAAGTTATAATATTGAAAAAATGAGGAGTAAGTTAAAAAGTCATTTCAGACATCACTGGAGAAGCAAAACAAAGAGTTGAGGACTAGGGTGATTTCTCTTCAACAGGAATTAGATACGACGGAGACTGTTCAAAAGGATTTTGTCAGATTGTCACAGAGTTTGCAGGTTAGTGGTACAAATGAACTCAAGCCAATACTGAATTAAAAAAAAAAGGTTCTCACAACACAGCTATCTATTATATAAATAATAACATTAAACAGTGTGTTAGATCTGTGTTGTTACAATCATCAGAGTGATTTATGAAAAGGTATACAATGGACTGTTTTGAATGGCACCTTTGTCACTATCTTTTGAAAAACTTTGTTTTAAAATTGCAATAGAGGTTTTGACTTCACCTCTCTCAAGAAGTGCACTGAATACTCTTCTACTCTCTTGATACAAATTCCAAGTGTTTTGTTTTACTACCAGTATACATTTGGGGACAAATAGATGGTAAATCGTTTATGTAGTTCACAATAAACTCGGTAAAATGAAGAACAACCACAGTTACAAAGTTATCACTGAAGAATATTAAATTTCTCTTCCGTTATCTTATTCTTCTTCTTTTTGAGTTTTTTGTTCTCGAGGGCCATCTGATGTCCTTTTCTTCCGTCCATCTGTCATGTACTATTTGTTCAGGTAACATTAGCATAAGACATGACGAGTTGCCCCTTTGTTGCATTATCTGTTTTGTTTACATATACATTTACAAGTCAATATAAGTACCTGGCCTGACCTAGAGATGGCGGTAGTTGTTTGAGAACTATCGCTGTATTAGAAAGAACACAATATGTAAAGCATATGTTTCAAGTTCAAAGACGCTCCGTTATTTAGTATTTGTTTGGCAGTCATCAATAGTGAATGTTTTCCGTGAATTTGTGAAAATGGAGAAAATTGGTCATCGTTATGTGTTATTCGTTAGCTTTATTCAGTATTTTATTCACCAAGTGAAAAACGGCGTTTTTAGTTGAAATATTTTCTTTGAATCCATATCGGCAAGGTGATAGAATCTGATGTTTTTCCAGAAAATTTAATAGTCTATTTTTTATGCATTTTTCAAAAAGTTTCGCAAAGTTATTAATTACCGATATAGGTCTATAGTTTGTTACAAGTTTTTTGTTTCCGGATTTGAAAATAGGCGTTGTGATGGCTTCTTTGAAATTATTTGGAATCGCCATTTACAAAACATTGGTTGAATATGTGATATAGGGGATCAAGAAAGTATTGGTGACATTTTTTTATTAAATAAACAGGTACTTTATCAGGGCCAGCAGAAGTATTGTTTTTTAAACTAGAAATAATGGAGTTGAAGTTGGTCAAAATAATGCCTAAAAACCTGCATGTAAGATAAATGGATCCTTTGTGAATTTCAATAAATGTTTTCAAAAGAACTAACGATATAAGGGCTACTTTTTACAAATGGTGTGTGCTATTTTTCCATATTTCTCAAAAAAAGATCCTTAAATAAACAAAGGATGAAATATAAACTAATTTGAAATATTTTCTGTTTTGCTTGACAGGATTTATTCAAATTTCTCAATGTCAAAATATCAGGTATTAAATTGGGTAACTCCAACCTCATTTAATCATTGCTCTGTGTATTACCGCGCGCCCTGGGATAGACATCCTCATCTTGGACATAGTTAAAGAATGTTAATGTTACTTTGAAAAATGACACACGTTAGTTTGAACATTGGTAATATATTATTTTCACTTTTTCTTATTGTAGGTACAATTAGAAAAAATTCGAGAGTCGGATAATCAAGTGCGATGGCAACACGAAGAGGATGTTGAGAAATGTCCAACTTGCCATTCAAGCTTTTCAACGGCAAAGCGAAAACAACACTGTAGACATTGCGGTCAAATATTTTGTCAACCTTGTTTGTCGCACACTGTTCTATCAGGGCCTAATAGCCGCCCTTCTAAAGTTTGTGATGTTTGTCATACCCTACTAGTCAAATCTTCTGCCCCTTATTTCAGTGAAGCTCCTCCGATGACGTGAAATTCTTAGTCACCTAGTAGCTGTATTTGATTGTTACCGTCTTTAAATTTTAAAACGTGAATAAATTCATTCCGAAATTTTCAATTGTATTTTTGTTCGAAATGTGGAAATTAAAAGTTACCAACTTGATTATATTACTCTTAATAGTGGAATTGGAAATTCTTTCATCAAAGATGTGAACTTTCACGGCAGGTAAATCTGTCAAAGCTATTTTCCAGGTTCCACAATTAATGCCTGGTTCCATTCCATCGGTGGTGGCGTCGTTCCTATTGGTTACATTAAATTACGTGATTCATGTGCAATTCAGTGCAGGTAGCCAAACTGTATTTATTTATGCTAATTCCTTTTTTCGTTCAATTGGAATTGTCTGGGTATATGACTTTCTATATCTTTTGGATAGTAATTCTGAAGTCTGTCAAGTGGGTACTTGGGTCTCTTCGAGCGTGATAACCTGAGTACCTCTTCAAGTGCATTTTCAACTACAACTGATTGGGCAGTATGCCAGAGGTGATATTTTTCTTTTATTCAGAAAGGTACTCAGACTTCTCTTCATGGAGTTTCTGAAGGCTATTTGGAGCCCATAACTGGCCACGGACTCTGATAGTTTTTTCGTTGGCCTGAATATTTATTGGTTTCACGTTGTGTTTCTTCCGAATGCATGAGAAATTGTCGCCTCGGGCATACAAACAAATCAGCTGTAGCCTAATCGAAGAGACACAAATACTTGGCAGAACTCAAAATCACTATCCAAGAGTGTATGAAAAGACAATAGAAATTCATAAATACAGACAATTTCAATTGAAACCAGATGTGAATTAACATTATGGAATTTGTGTACCTGCACTTAATTGCACATCAATCAGGTCATTATTGTCTAGCAATAGCAATGAAACCACACTCATCACTGATGGAAAATACAGGATACCTAGAAATTGAATGGAGTAGTATATTACATGCTGTGAGAACGGATAAAGAACTGCATCTGTTGTCACATCGCAGTTGTAGACAAGTTTTTCATGAAAGGTGTATCATTGATGTGTTTTGCAGATTCATTTACTTGTTATATGGTACATAATGTGCAAAAGGTTCAACAAAATAAAATGTTGAAGAAATTATAGAAATCGCGTCTCGACAAGTTAGTTTTATTTCCAGCAGGATACCTAGTGTACATGTTTTTATATTTCTCAATTTAATCATATAAAAGTTAGCATGAGTGGCATCCCCATAGTTTCAAATGGCTAGAAAGGTTTGATAACACATTATATTTGAAAGTTCTATTCTTTAACTCAAGTTTGAAATGTTTGAATGGACGTCTTTGTTAGTTTTTTAATGAAATATAATTCATTTCTTGTTTTAAAGTTTATAGCTATTTGCATTTATCAGTAACAGTAGGTAGTAATTATTATTCAGTATTTGCAACGCGAGTAAAATCTCGAGAAAGTTCTTCAACAGGCCGATGTAGTTAGTAAACAATTACTCACATATATCAGAAAAAGAGCTTGATATAATGAAGTTTTAAAACGCACAAAATCAATTAAAGGACAAGACGAAGCGGTGCTTTGATAATATTCCTTTCTTCCTAATAAAAGATGTAGATGTACGCACATCCTAACTGCTCCACTAATTACAATATTTAACATGTCTCTTGAAACTGACAATTTTTTCTCAACATGAAAACTTTCAAGAAGACCAATATTCAAAAGGGTTGAGAGGCTAACTGCCGACACTTGTTCAGGTATGGTGAAGGTCTTTGAAAAGTCTGTGTATAACTCTCCTCAAATCAAACGTGAATGCTTCCAAGAGTACCAATCACAAACCTCAATGCCATTTACGCAATAGATATTTGTGCTGATGAACTAGAGTTATTTAAGGTAGTAAAAATGATGTTATTTTCAAATAAACGTAACAAAATAACATTTGACTCTAGCAATTGCAATAATTACGAATAAGGATTTGGGAATTTGTGTCATTTATTAATTTTCATTCAACTAACATGTGGAAAATGTAATACATTCAACTAGAATAAAAGTTTTTTATACTGCACATGTAAGACTTTAAAAAAGTTCACAGCTATCAATACAAATTAAATTAGTTATTATTATCAAGACTTTATTCGAATAATGATAATGTATGTTATTAGTAGTTTATATAGGGTCTAAAATTTGTATGCAGCGACTGCAGTCAGCAATATATCGGCCAGACCAACAGAAGAATATCTGCTGAGGTCCCAGGAGCACAAAATCTCTTCGAAAACAAAGCTAACATCGTCTGACTTTTTCAACACTACATACTGCAATGACGAGTGAGCAGGTGTATTATCTTGATACACAAGCCATGAATTGTGTTTCGAAACACCGAACGTTTTCTTCGTAGTGCTACTCACAAGTGGCTAACTTCAAAATAATACTCTTTATTGACCGTACGACCATGTGGCAAGAACTTCATATGCACAACGCCAAAGTAATCGAAGAAAAAATTTCACATCAAGAATGGTTTGACTGGTAACAGTGTATCGTCTTTTCAACTTGTTTTCTTGAATTAATCGTCCAAACTACACCATTTAAGTACCTTTATTCGTGTAATATAAAATCAATCATTTTACATTATATTCAACAATGAAATTAGTTGATTCAGATTCCTTCAGTACATTGTTCTGTTATATTTCCTATTAGTTTTTTGGGTATCGAATCCTTCGTAGTGTATCACGTAAGCCGGATAATATGAATTATCTTCATACTTCACATACACAGTTCCTTTCTGATTCATAGTGGTGTCTGCTGACCCATCTGGAATCTCCCAATTACCATCCCCCAAACAACATTGTCCCACTTGAACTTTAGCTACAAACATGATTTTCTCAAAAGACTTATCTCCATAGTGAGTGGCATAATTAGAAAATGGTGAGAAAGAGACTCCTTTTCCAAACTTATGTCCAGTAGATGAACCACTCAATCGCCAATCGAAATTGTTTTCACAAATTCCTTCAATGTTCCATTTCTTGGTTCCATGAAACAGCATTTGGGTTTGAACAGGCCTTACTCTAGACCTACATTCTTGCTCTTTAAGTTTATACTGTAAGAGCAGATATGGATTGTACACTTTTTGGATGGATGTTAATTTGAAGCAACGTTTATTAGTCTGCATAAAGTGTCGTTTCTGATTTTGAAATTCAGAAATGTTATCCAAAGTTTCCAATTTATATGCCATATCATTGACTTTGTTCATCCATGATTCACAGCCAATACTTTGAAGAAGGTTCTGTATCATAAGATGATTTTTGGATAGTTTTCTAATGCAAATTTCTTTTTTTTCATCATCTTTTAAACTCAGAGACTGTATCCCCCGACAAAGCTCATTTTCACGTTCGTTCAGTTTTCTCAATTGTAGTTGTCTGCATGCTTCAATATATGCTTTTTCTTGTTCTCTTTCATAAACAAGTCGAAGAAGGCGTGCCCTCCGCTGGTCATTCTCATATTTTAGTTGCCTTTCCCTCTCTACTTCACTTTTTGATTGACCCAGTCCCATTTTATTCCTTGTTCGAACTGTTAAAAGTACTAGTCTAAAGTATATAAATTGACAAATTAAGTATCAGAAAAAATATAGTCGCTGATTACCTAATATAACACACAGTAAAAATTCTACTGTGACATATATATGTTACGTGTGATTCCCACATACTTGACAGCATATAGTATCCAAATAAATTAAGAGTAGCCAATCGTTAAAAAAATACATATTGTTTTCTGGTTAATGATCTTTCACTCTCCAGGTAATTATATAAAACTATATGAAGCACATACAGTGATGTTAAATGATGATAATAATGGCTAATCTTAGAAATTTTTAGCTGATTTATTACTGCTACTCTCTAACATTGCAAATCTTGTTTGTAATAAATTATCCAACAAAAATGTAATCAGTGAAAACAAAGTATTCACCAGACATCTTTTTCACAACCTTAGAAATAAAGATGCTGTGTGAAAATGCTCCGAAAGAAATATTTCAAAAGTAGGGAAGATCATCACGCGGATACAACTATCGGAAATCTTAGAACCAAGTGACAAGATAAAACAAAGTATTCTCAGTTGTTTTTTTATAATCGTTACGAATTAAAATAGATTACAAGATCAGAACAATACACTATGATTACAAATTCACAATCAATCAATTCTGAACACAGCAAACCCCAAAACACAGCTCTTCGGAACAGGTGGTTACCGTTTGATGTCACCATTAATAACACATAGTAGCGCCCTCATCGGTAAAATGACATCTGTGCATACGTATATTTAAGCCCCGTATGTTTATTATGCGAATACAGATTATTATTTTCAAAGCATCATCGACATCTTTTATAATATGACAAAAAAAATACAGAAGAAATGATATTCGATGTTCAACCATCTGCAGATCTCTAAAGTATTCGAAAAGTGTACAAATACAAGTACTTAACAATTAAGCCTTTGCAGGACTTTCTTCATTTATTTGATTAGTGCCAAAAATCATAAAATTATAAATCATTTTTGAAATATGGTTTTCTCATTTATGTGTATTTTTAGTTATTGCAAAAATTTGTTTTGCATGAAATTATTAACGCAAACATTCAGTACATTATAAATGATTTAATTAAGGTGAAATTATTGATATTAAAGCTTCAAACAGTTCAGACTGATGGTGAATTCATGCATATGTAGTCAGTTGTAGGCAACTGGACCATTGAATTTAAATAGAAACATTCATGAACCACTCAGGTTTTTGTTGGAGAAGGAATGGAAAATATCACTTACATGTGGTTTATTGTCTTAAGATGAGTCTTATTTATGAAGCTTCAAGAAATATATGTGTAAATAGTGTATATATAAATGAAAGTAAACTATAAAAGAATAATTGCAATAGAAGTTTCATTACATTTGTTGAAATAATTTTGAAGCTAGTCATCAAATGAGATAACTATCCTCAATTTTATATTTGAATAAAAGTTGTAGAGTACTGAAAGCAAAGTTATATCAGGTTGTTTCAAAAGTTTTGTCAATTTTAATGTCATGTGTTTTTGTAGATCCATATCTCAATAAATATTTATTCTACTGTGTCTTGGTATATACTCATCGATGGAGAATTTTGTACTCTATACATTGCTGATGTTCCTCAAAGGGGAAAACCCAGCAAAAAAAAAACATGGTTACTGTATGGTGGTCAGCGGATGGTGTGATTGACTATAACTTTCTACAATTGGGCCAAACCATCACAACAGATGCCTATTGTGAGGAAATTGACGAAATGTACCAAAAATTGCCGGCACTGGGTCTGCCCCACGACAAAGTTCACGCCAACAGACTACCATCTTTCCAAACACTTCGATAACTTTGTCACTGGTAGAACCTTCGCCAATCAGGACCAGGCAAAAACGGCCTTCGTCGACTTCATCAAATTTCCAGCACACAATTTTTTGTTGACGGAATTAATCGGCATGTGTTACGTTGGCTATAGTGCACCGATTCAAATGATGCTTATTTCAATCAAACTGTATAGGTATTCACTGAGATATTTCAGTTTAAAGTACTTAGACTTGAGAAATGATGTATATTAGTTGAGTGTATCACAATTATGAAGACTGGTCCAAGTTATCATAGAACTTGAAATTTCATTACGAACAAAAGCTCGTCACATATACCTGATCAGTTTGTAGATGAAAAAGTTCTTGTAAAATGTTGAAAGGTTTTCCTTAAAGTCGCCCAATTCAAGTAGTTCCTTTATATCATAACATACTTAAAAATACCAACAAATCTCACTCAAATCCATTCACACGGTTTATTCAAAAAGATTCTCAGAAAAAGGCTTCATTCTACCTACGCCAAGAATGAAAATACACAAAAGGATAGTTACGGAAAATAATTAAAATTAATTATGCAGTTACACTTCTGGTAATTGTATTACTTTCTTTTAGAATTGTTTTCATTAATTCATTTATGAAAATGTTTCAACAACTATGCTCATGGCAAATGAACATCTTTCAAAAGAAGTATCACAAAAATATAATTTTAAAATGCACCATCATTTATATTGGGAGAATATCGACCAAACCTTGTAAAAGTTTTAATCATAACTGAGCAATACAAAACGAGTATCTTATTTTTTAATAACTTGAATAACATCTTCATCTTGCATCGTGTGGCTGACTCCAACACGCTGAGGAGAATATTTCGTACTAGTACCCCAAACTAGAGCATATTTGAATTGAGCTGCCAAAGTTCTATGGATCGCATGGCAGACGTGTTCCACCGTAACACCTTTCCTTAGTATGAGACCGTCAGAAAAGTCTGGTGGTTGACCAGGTTTTTTCGTATAAACTCTGATTAGACTCAAATATTCCCAAAGAGTCGTTAGTAGATAATCTAGGTTCAGCTTCATGTTGCAACTGAAAAAAAAAGTTTTGTAATTCATTATAGCAACTGGTAAAATATGAACAGTAAATTTTAGATTATAAAAATTCAGTTGTAAATATTCCCTATTGTGCGCTGCTATCTTGATGAACATTAGTTCATTTGATTTAACTTTATTGATAGACTTTAGCCAGAATATGGAAGAATTTCATGTCAATGCTTCTCATAAAAGTAAGTCTCTACACACAAGACTAATTTTACCTAGTTAATCCATCAACACTTTTAAATAAAAATAATTTACTTACCTTACAACTACACTATTAGGTTGCCTAGCAATTCTATCGACTTCCTCAATAGATATTTGATCAATTTTATTGTAAACATAGAGACAAGGCAAATAAACTCTGTTTGCACAAATGACATCAATCAATTCATCGGCAGTACAATCCTCTCTGAATAATACCTCTGCATTAAATATTTTATATTCGTGTAATATGAGTTGAACTAATTTTTCATCTATTTTCGTTAAAGGACAAGTTGAATTGAATGATAAGCCACCGCCTTTTTTAATCTGAAACAAAAAAAAATTGGATATAAATCTGATCAAGTCAGCTTATGGTACAAAACTAGTTCTCAAGCAATCACAATGGCTTTACAACTGACATGTGAAAATAGCAAACACCTTTAATTACGTCATCTCACTCTACAAATATAGTTTTTATTTAGGTATATGATCAGCATTCAATTCAGACTACTCTTAAATTTGTTCAGAGTTACATAAGTTACATCTAACTTCTTTCATTCACTAATATTAGTGTCTGGTCAATGGAATGTGGTAGGCCATAATTTGACAAAGGTTTCATACACGCAGATGAGCTCCATTAAAATTGATCGAGTCCCAGACACTTTGCTGTTTGGGTCGGAACTTTCCTGCACTGACATGAGGTAATACTCAGAAACTGGTCTGTAGGTGATCTACTTGAATAATTTCAGAAGGGTGTTGCTGCTGGACGAACGAGAAACATCTGTGAGATAGTATACAGCGTGGTATTAGCCAGAGAAGTAATTGTTTTCCGGCAGGCATTTATCAGAACCTACTGTGTAGGTAGTTGAGAAAGATGAATGTTTCGAAATAATTTATTAAATATAGGTCTAGTTACTAGTCTCAACCAGCATAATTAGAACACCTGTTTTCAAAAAGAATGTGGATTAAATTAGATTAACACAGATATTTTTCTTATGCTTGTTAATCCTTACATCAATAATTTCAACGCTCAAATGTTACTAATGAATATCTCTTACTTTGAAATAAATGTTAGGCTTCTTCTTGTTCAGCCTTATCCCCACACTTTCTAATTCTCTCTCTAATAAATCTCTATGAACATCTTTTTTTGTTGCATCTAACATCATCAACACCAGGTCCGCAGTTCTAGCTACGGCAATGACTTGTCTACCTGAAAAAAAAAAATGAAATCAAGGAGCTCCTGTTTCGAAATAAGCCAATCTGACAATTTTTGTATGTGCCTGAATTTGAAAATGTACAAATCTGAAATTTTAATTATTAACTTCTAGGTTCCTATCGCAAAATTCCAGAAACCCCATATCTCTAAGAAATTGAAATTTATTTCTAAAATGATTGAAGGGTAGCCCTTTGGTTAGCATGATTGTACTTGTGATCCACTGTTTGGAACCTCCACTGTGTAGTAATTAATATTACTGGAGTTGTTTCCCCAGTAATATTCATTTTTTAGCATGATTGGTCATTCCTCTCATTCAACTGCTATGTGAACATTGGTTCAATGCCAACTGTGGAATGATAAATATTTATTGTTCATCATTCGACCCGAGCTAGGAATAATGGTACATTGAAATGCAAAACCTTCGACTACTAAGAATTAGTTAGTTTATAGTTAGTTAGTAAACACATTTTTCCATTACCTCTTCCTTTTCCTTGTGCAGCACCTTCAATGATACCCGGTAAATCTAATAATTGGATATTGGCTCCATTATATTCTATAACCCCTGGTATGCATGTTAGAGTTGTAAATTCATATGAAGCGGCTTCACTTTCAGTTTTTGTAAGAGTAGACAGTAACGTAGACTAAAATAGATGACAATAACAATAATTATTTGTTGAAGAATTCAAATACAGTTGAATAACAAAAATGAAATGGTGTCAAAACTAGCATTTAATGAACGTTTAACAATTTTGAAACTTTTTGTTGATGATTCATATTTTTGAACACAACAGGGTCAATACTTGAAGGAATATTCAAAGAGTCAATACAGCTTATTTCAATCTATTCCAACGAAATTCATGATAAAACATGCTGAAACTAGTCTCTGATTGAAACGTTTCAATCAACAGCAGTTGTAGTTTTGATAATTGATTTTATAGTTTACTATATTTACGTATTCAAACATATACATATTTTTGAAAGAGTCAGGTAAAAAATAGTGACAGGGATGACTGATGTACAGGGAATTTTTCCCATTGTAGAGCCAGCCAGTGGACTTTATCAAATACCAAAACATCGATAATAAATGAGTGTATTTCTGTACGAAATTTCACTGATTTCAGCTCAAAATAGTTTCTGAATATGTGATGGAATTTGCCGATAGTGGACTGTTTACAAAACCCCAACATGTGTTTTGTTATACAATTGCTTCCTCAAGGGTTTTCATATTGTATACGGAAACTGTACAGTAAAATTCTCACGATAAAGTGTTTTTTGAAAAGTTTGGAGTAAACCTGTAGAACAGTCATTTTTTCAACTGAATAAAAAATTGTAAAACTTCTCTATTTCAGTTAGTTTCATAAAAGTAAATGTTCAAATCACACATTTGAGTGCTTCTACTATAAACCTGTAACCTAGTTAAAGCAGGGCCTAAGGCAGGCCCTGCTCTATTAACTAGGCAATGAAAATTTGAATAACAGCTGACCTTATGAAAGAAACACTTCATTGTGAAATTGAAAAGCTATACATTATAGGCATTTCTATATATGCCTGAAGAATATAATGTATCCTGAAGACATGCCTGAAGAAGCTAGTGAAACATGTGTTGCGGTTTTGTAAACTGTTCAGTGAAAATCACCTAATGAAGTGTTTCTAGAATACTTCATACATTAATCTCAGAAAGAAGATAAGTCACTCAGTACATCAACTGATAATGCTGCGTAAAAATATACCTGTTTCAATTTATATAAATATTATGTTCTTGAAATTCCATCAGGTAAAAATATTATTATTGTATGTTCAACACCTACAATGGAATGAAATAATCAAGAAAAATTACTTTTCCAACAGAAGGAAATCCAATTAGGGCAACCCTTGCATCACCACTCTTAAGAACATCAAATCCTTCCCCCTTTTCTGATTTTTTTGATGGTTCCAGTAACTGAGACCTGTATTTAGCTAATTTAGCCTTCAAGAGTCCCAAATGATATTCGGTAGCTGAAAAGAGACCGTTTAGGTTATGTTATTGTACAAAAAGATTATAAAACCTTTATTTTTCTGGGTTCTAGAGATCTCCCTCTCAATTTCGGAAATTTTTTCCAAAATACCCATGGTTTTAGATCTCGAAGATGTTTCAGGTAAAATAAAAACAAAATATCAAAACATTTAACACATTAATCCTAAAGTGCAGACCACAGAATAGCAAAAAATTTAACCAATCTAAAGAACAATTTGTTCTGTGTATCTACAGTATCAGTCATCCGTCATCACTGTCATCTTTTTGTTTTGACATTTCTGATTTCTCACCATTGTTGCCGCAGCAAATTATGTCAGTTCAAATTATCCGTGAATAAGATTTAAGTTTGTTTCCCGTTTTTTAAATAATTCGCTCTTGATTTTTCTAACAGTTCTAACTCAACGGGATCTGAATAAAATATTGTAACATCGCAGAATACAAATATATGTAGTAAAAGCGTAAATATCGTACAGATTCCATATCGACGTAACAGTTTAATAATTGAGCATTAATTATCAAAAATGTTAGAGATTAGAAATTTTGGTTTTGAGTTTTTATAGGGAATTATTTCGGATTATCTGGTAGTTTCACTCGTGGTTATCATACTTTTAAGGAATTGCTAAAGTACAAAGAAAATGCAATTAGACAATAATTTGATATTGTTTATTTGTTAATAAATTTGAATTTGACTTTACTTCTAATTTCGTACTATAGAAAGAGCTACTCGGTTAACTCGACCGGATGAAAACTTGTCATAACGTGTCTTATTTAAACCAACCCTGTCCAAAATTATTTGAATCTTTGATATCGAATTCAGTTCTAGGTAGATTTTTATTTCTGTCATCACCCGAAGACGACTGTGGATACTAACAATCGAAACGTCGTGAAGAAACGTAGTTTGAAATCTTTTTTAATTTATGCTTTTTATTTTATCCTTTTTATTTCCTTTTACTCTGTAGTCATTTACATTTTGTACCTTGTTTATTTGATTCCTTGTAGGTATTGTATTTTCATTTCAGGTTTCATTGCTTAATATAATTAATATTTCAGCTGTTCATATTAATTTTATTTGTTCTTTCATAAATTTCAAATCATAGTGGAATCATATTAAACAATGGAAGTCCAAACTAATGAAATCCAAAACAAGCACTCTTCCCAAATATCAGAACTGCAACACTCTTTTCGACGCGTGTTCTCCAAGGCATATTGAGCGACACTAGATTTTTCTGGTCGCTGAAATTGGATATGTGGTAAATGTTCAAAAGCGAATCTTCACTGACATTACACGGCTTGCTATCGTCCAACCCGTGTTAGGAATCACATGTTAAAAGGTAAGACCTTCTTAGTTCTTAGCTCGCACTAGTTTCGACTTCTGAGGGTTGTCGTTCGTAGGGGTGCGACAGCTGGTTAATGGAAAAACAGATTTGAACAGACGGATTACTAAGATATTTGGTTTCGAATTCTGATTCATCTTTCACAAGAAGTAAAACTCCCTTTCCTCGTTGATTCTTCCTATAATTATAACTTGCTACACAATATCCACTTGGTTTGAAAGCATTTGCTTCAGTGTCTGTTAAACAAGATTCGGTAACACAAATAAAATCTGAGAAATTTAGAGTTTCAAGATAAGCTTCTGATAAAAACGCCTTTTTCCTTATGCTACAGGCATTTATATTTACTATTCTACAACCCCTGATTTCTGATTTCCACTATTTCATTATTTATTCTAACAATGAAATCGCGAATGAAATATGAACTATTTCGGAAATCTTTGGTTTCAGAATGGTAAATATGAGTGAGCATTCAACTTCTTCAGTTTTAATAAACCCTATTTTACTAGACAAAACAGGAAGCATTTGATACTGTTTGATTGTCAACCATGTTCAATTACAAAAGTCGTTAATCAGTTGTAGCATTCTTTCCAAATGTTAATTTGTAATTTTAATACAATGTGACTGATGAATCCTACATTAAGTGAAGCCAACATTATAATATATTATATGAAATGCATTCTTTTTCAAATGAAATATGGTATATTGTACTGATGATTGAATATTTTCTAAAAAAAAAATGTAAAACATGCCTCTGAGCACTTGGTAATGTTTGGAAAACTCATCAGTTGAGTGGATCTGACACTGTTAATCTACAGTCCTAACGGGATTTGTTATACCACTGCTAGTCCTTAACCTAAAAAAAGTAATGTCACCAAACACAAGTTGATTTGTAAGATACCAAATTGTATAGCCACATACTTTTGCACAGTCACATTTTTTTTAAGTTAGCTTCTCAGAAACTTTAAACACCTCACCTAAACGTACAAGCAACCTAGACTGTTTCTTAATGAAATACATTTTGCCAGCGAGATTACACGCATTTCAGAGAATTTTAAAATTCTCCTACAGTTCTTGTAGTTCTCCATTATAATTTCTTTCATTCAGCAAGAAAAAATACTACGTTACGATTATAACTGAACATTTTTATTTTTCACTTCTAAATACCTTATATCTATAATTATTTACATTCATTATAAACAAAAGAAATATATTAATGAAACTATACATTCTAAAATAAGATACTTCGTAACAAATACTCTCACTACCATATCATTCTACCATATCTTAAAATCTAGATGGGATACCTGAGATCCAGAATCTAGATTTCGTGAGCAGATAACATTTTGTGTTATAATTACAATTAGTTTCAATCAGGTATTCATTGCTGATGTGTCATGCCAGGCGACAAAATGCTTGAATGGTGGTCAGAATTCATGAATACCGTATACGAGATATATGAAAAATAAAATGAACATTCAGGATCTGAACTTTGAGACCGATACAATAAAGGGCATCACAGATGAGATACAGACCACTGAAAAGCCTGCATGAAATTATTTTTTTGAAAATCTCCTTACGATATCTAAAATATATAGAATATACACTGAAAAAGTGATTTGTTTCAAAGAACATATACAGTGTGTCCCAGGTGCATGTTAAAAGAGGTGTGATATAAAATAATTTCATTCAAAGATTTCAGGATTAGGCTGTACTTAGTGGAAAATGAACTTTGGGACTATTTTCAGTTTTTGAAAAATAATTTGGCTTTGACAGTGAAGCGAAAACGATTTTCTTTTCAGGTAAAGCATCCTTTTTGTTCATGACATCTGGAAATGTTACTGAGGAAAATTGTTCAGAAAGATACCACTACTCTGATTTTTTTAATATCATACAACTTTTTTCAGTTACAATTTGACGAATCATGAACAGAAAGGAAGGGAAAATAATTTTTGCTTCATTGTAAAGTTCTATTGGTTTTTCAAAAACTGAAAGTTTTCTTAAAATTTATTCATCAAGCAGTAAACTGTTGATGTTTGGGAACTATAAGAATAAAGTAAGTAAATAAAGTCTCAAAAGGTGAATATTTAGAACTTGGATTATCAAGTAATGTTTAAAATTTTTCTCAACGTTTCAACACGCTTTTTATCAAGAATATTGCTTGAGCATAAATTATTTAAGAATTAAGATTTTGATTCTTTAGTTTAAGATTGAAATTTAGTAATTTTTTTGTCAATATATAAGATTTAATAAAGTTGAGAGTTTCGGCAAGTTCCAAACTTCAACTTCATATTTTACTGTTTGAATAAAGTTAACTGAGAGATATATTGCAGTGTATTTAGGAAAAGAAATAAGGGATGGGGAGAATTTGAAATGGGACTTCAAAGACTAAATTAGAAGTGTCTCACGAAAGAACAGAACGTTCTGCATAACCTACAAAATGTCACCTGACTTAACGTTATTATAATTTCCAATAACTACGGCTATACATGTTTCCAACAAATAAATTATATGGCATTCTGATAAATAACTCCCTTGTTCGTTGGGTAGCATGCATTTTCTGAATTTATCAGTGTCAAACTTCGATCATTTTCAGTTAAATTTTTCCTCGGTAGGTGAAACCTGCCAAGAACTTTTCAAACCAAAACTATAGTATTAAAATTGCACACAATTGTTTTGATCATCTTTTTTGTACCTACATATTACTTCAATAAATAATATAGCTCTTTTTTCTGAATATTTTCAGAAAACAAACAGAAAAAGGCACGAATATATTTTATCAACTGACAAAGTTTAAGATGCTCTTCCAATTTCTTCACAGAAGAAATGAAGACTTATGAACATCTATCGCATGGGCATCTTTTAAATAAGATGGAAATTCGAGACTGTTTCATAAAATATTTTTCTTACCTATGACTTTTACATGTATCTCAAGTCATCTAGAAAATGTGAATCTGATTTCATTTTGTTTTGAGAAAGCATCAGAAAATCACGATATATTCTAGCTTATCTTTCGCATTGAATGTCAGTATCGAAACAGCCCATTAAACTACAGGTACGTTCATAAAAACTTTGTCATCATATTCAGTTGAAAAATATGTTCGTGTCTCATTCTCATCAGTATAGATTTTGGCCGAAAGAGCGTTGAAATCTGCAATTTCTCACAAAAATATTGAAATTTGAACGCTCTTCTACAAAGAACATTGAGATTAATTCCGCCTAGCAATCATTACGTGTCTATTATAACTTTCAATAAGAACTCTAAAAAGAAATAAAAAAACAACAAAAGAATGGCTGTTAATCAGGAAATCATTGCACTTACCAGAAGATAAAGTACCATGATGACAAGTGGTGCAACATAAAAAAAGTACTTATTGTGAGAACGATTGCATACGACATTGTATTGTTTTGTTAACATTGAAAAATCACGCTGAAGCTTGATTTTCTCTTCACTAACTTGAGAGAAACGTTCCTTGAGAAGAACCAATTCTTCCTCGAGTTCAACCAATTGGTCATAAGATACAACGCTATTCGATATGGTAGGCCCCCACTGCGTTTCTTCTATTTTCTCTTTGACATTTTCATTCAAGTCTTTCAGTTGTTTCTTAGCCAACTCCAATTCTTCTAAAAGCACACACATCTTATCCTTGTACTCCAGAGTTTCGTTACAGCTCTCCTTCCATTTCTGTTGTAGTAGAACCAGCTCTTCCTTTATACCCTCATTTTCTTCTAAACGTAGTTGGGAAATTTTTTTCTCTTCGAGTAGCTCTTTATCCAGATCATTAATTTTCAATTTATTCTCATTCGATATCGTTTCGAGAAGTTCAATTTTTCTTTTCAATTCATTCTGGGCAGACTGGAACTGATATTTTAATGTTTTGGAATCCACACGATCACTGGCATAATAATTTTTTTCCATGTCTTCTTTAGTTGAATCAGATCTATCATTGGAATCATGGAAATCCTGTAAAGTAATAATATGACAATTTTTGTAGAATAAATATAATCATGGATTTCAAGTCAATTTAAAAAAATATGATTTAATTTAAAAATAACAGATATACCCCTCCCTAGACTAAGGGAGGTATGAAGCCCAACTGTTATGTTGATCTATTAACAACCCCTAGACTAAGTTGAAGACAGCTCAACAACTCAAGAAGGAGTAGGAGCTGGCATATACAGAGGCAGAGCAAAAACGAGAATCCCACTCAGCAGCAATAGTGTTTTGGGCAATATTTGCTGCTATCAAACCCTCCTTAGGAGAATGTCTCAGACAGAAGGTTGAAAAAAACAACCATTGCCATTTTCTTCGATAGCCAGGCGCTTAGCTGCTACCAAGTCTTTTCACGACTTGTAGGGAGCTGTCTTGAGGCTAGGTTCCTGCAATAGGGTTACCCTAGCCAGGATCCCCGGACACGGAGGACAATAAAGATGCTTTTGCTTTGACCTGTAAATGTCATCCAAGATCATGAAAGGTCCAGAGCCCTCCTGTGGGCCAACAAAGACAAGTATAAAGACATCTTTGGATACAAGCAGAATCTCTTGGTGGAGCAAGCTCCCAGGAATTAAACAGGCGAAAGAGTTCATCAAAAAAGCCTTCACCCAAATTCATGGAAGGCCTGCTAAACCACAACCGCAAGGTTGTTAGAGTAGCGGTAGGTCTACTAACGGAGGATTTTCGGCTCATAAATTATATGAGCATTATGGGCCTGGCGGAAGAAACTCCATGCAGGTTCTGCTAGAAGGAAGAAGAATTTGCTATGTGAACGCAAAGTGTTAGCAAGGCTAAGACATGGGAGATGCAGAAATGATAAACTACTGGCTCTATATGAAGGAGCCGATATCAATCAATGCTTTGGAGTCTCATTGACAAAATCAAGTTATATAAAGAGCTTTGACAACCAAAGAACATCATAATAGATCTGCAAAGGTGGCAGTGAAATAGGCCGCATGTCAGCTCCCTTAACAATTCAATCTAAGTTGAAGAACATAAATACTCAAGACCGATTACTGACAAAAAAATTAAAACACTGAATCTTGTAACAAGTTAAAACATAATATGTCTATAATTCCGTCTGCTTCTGCAGTGACCGAATTGTCGTTTTCCTGCAGAAGCAAGGAGAAACAAGAAAAAGAGTGAATGCACCATGGAATCTTTTAGAAAGAGTAAAAACACTGACAACACAATACTCACTTCCTCAGATTCACAATCCTCTGCTATTTTGAAAGAAACCCTCTTGATATCTTCCTGACATAACTTTTGTTGGTTCACTTCGCAGTCGCATTCTTCTACTTCAGTTGTTTCACCTGCCCCCTTTTCAGATTCGATTTTATCTTCCACCGGACCAAACTAAAAAATGATTTGTATGACTTTTGGTATGGAGGCATGTATAATTTTGTCGTAAATGTTTCTTTCTCCAGCAATAATGATATTTTAAATCAATAAAACGATGTAATACAACATAAAGATAATCTAACTGATAACAAATCAAATTTATTCATCACCGAATTCCATACAAATGTATAAAAGACATATCATTTAAACTTGTTCATCAAATAAACTAAGACAATTTCAAATACTGTGGATTTATTCATACTTTCTTATCAATAAATGTTGATTGGTAGATAAGACAAATTATTGTTAAAAAATGAACTGAAATTTCAAGCTTCCATGAAGAAACAAAGGAAGGAACCATGTTCCAATATAGAGGTTGGTTCCAAACTTTTCCCGCATAACTGAGACGGACATCTTTAACTGTCTTCAGGACCTTTTAGTAGGTAGACTTATTCAAAGCCAATATTTCCAGTGGACAAAGGCTACCCAACAAGGATAATATATGTTTGAAGGTGATTGACAATGTTTCATGATGAATTTCACTAGTTCGGACTTCCATTGTCTACTATATAAAATGATTTAAAATCCCTGAAACAACTAAAAAAGAATAATTAAAAATGAATAGCTGAAAATAACAATTATATCAAGCAAAATAAACCTGAAATGAAATAATAGTGAAATATAGTTTCAAACCACTCCATATATATGTTGGCTATGACTGGTGAAAGTGGCGATCCTATTGGTAGTCCTTTATCTTGTGTAAAGAATTCGTCCTTCAGTTGGAAATAACAGTTTCGTACGCAGCATCCTAGTAATTCTATAGGTAGATTCGTTCTCTCTTTCAAGTTCCCGTCTTCGGATAGTAGTTTATTTCACTATTATTTCATTTCAGGTTTATTTTGCTTAATATAATTGTTATTTTCAGCTGTTCATTTTTAATTATTCTTTTTTAGTTGTTTCAGGGATTTTAAATCATTTTATATAGTAGACAATGGAAGTCCGAACTAGTGAAATTCAAGGATACTATAGTTACCCTATTATTTCAAATGATCTACTAAGAATCCGGTTTCATTGTAAAATTTTTGTCCGTTTTGTTTTAGAATGAAGACGTATTTATATTGTGCATCAACCATCGAGATATAAATTGGAATATGGAAAGTTAAAACAATTTAATTGATAATACTATAGAGAATGTTTCTCAAGTACTACTTTAATTTCATTGGGTGATTTCTTGTGATATGTTATGAATAAAAGTTACCATTAATGTATGTTTGAAACTCTTCAGATGGAAAAAATGCAACAAGGGGATAGAAAAATGACTTCACATCTTACGCTTAATGACGCATGGAAACCAAGAGTGAGTCCTGAGGAATATGACAAACAGCAAACAAAGGATCTGTACAAACTAGTACAGGGAACAAGATTGTTAAAATGAGTGGTATATAAATAGGAATAATTTAAGTAATTTTCATATAGCCATTTTACTATATTCAAAAGATTCAAAAAATTCAAGAATCGAATGGGCGCAATTTCAGTTGACATCTTTCACAATATTTATACTGATATTGTACCCAGAAACATATCTTCTTTTCAAATGTTCTATTATTTCTTCAATTTCTGTTAAACCTAATGGCTTGAGAAACAAGATGAGAGATTGAAGCCACCTTGAAATATTCGAAATGGCAGAGTATAATTTTGTTTCTAATAGAAATAAAATGGATCATTAATATTTTCACAAATTTCATAAAAGCTAACGTGAGTGTCACATCAATAGGTGGTTCCACTTATATCTCGCTTGATTTTATGCAGTGATTTTTTATCAAATACTTGTCTCAATTTTTCAGTTTGTCTTCAATCTGCCTGCCCGGTACTGATGATGCCCAACAGGCTGAAACAGCTGTCTACTGGTGGCTCAAATTGTGAATGATCGGAAAAGTACTCATTTATCTATATTTTATGATTAACATTTATTTTAAAAAGTTAATTCTTTTTTTAAATTATACAGTCATAAAATTAAACTTACCGTCAAACTGATATGGTTGTCAACGCCATTTGACATATTCATAAGAGAAACGCAATCATCATTTTCGGCAATGAGCTCTTCTTTACACCTCAAGTCGTCATCATAAATGAGATCTTTGTGCTGAAAATGAAAATGTATTCACTAAAACAGAAAGTTTCGCAAGGAAATACTAACCATTCCCTCTAGACCTTCACGATTTGGAAAATCTTGATCGGACAAAGTATTCATTTCAAATAGTTTGAGCTGCAAGTCCAACAGTTTTCCAGACTCTGATTCTAATTTGGATTCTAGTTCCTTTTCTCGTTGTTTCAATTCAAATTGTATATTTTCGGCTTCAATTTGATGCTCGGTTAATTGTCTGGCCATGGCCTGAAATACAATTGAAAAACATAACATGTCATGTTTTGAAAAAAGCACCTTATTGCTTATTTCTATTCTAATAAAACCATATTTAGTGAATGGAATTTGGACATTTTACGAATTTTGGAGACCTGTCAAAATAATTTATAAATCAAAATGCTAATACAATGTACCATTGTAAATATAATTCTACAAGGAAAGTAGGTAGGTAGGTAGGTCCAAACTGAGTGGGTTTATTCGATCCTCCAGGACAACCCTCGGGGATTTATTATGTTTCATACCTATTCAAACTCGACTTTTTCAGGTCAGTTGCCAAATGCTGAAAATCTGATATGATCTGCAGCAGGACAGGCTCCCATCGGTGGCGGAGCACATACTTGTGAAGAATAATCCACTCCAAAGTTGACAGATCAGTAGTCAGTCTGCGATTACCTTCGTCCGGTAGGTGGAAAACACAAATGTGCTTCTTGGGAAGTAGGTCTTCTACGACGTATTTCAGTGAGATGCCCTCTGGTAGCTGCCATGTACTAACCTCACCTATCAGCCAGGATACCCTTTCCTGATCTCTGTAAGTCAGCTAACCTACAATACACTAGATTTAGCCATGCAAGGCTTTTCCACCTCTGATTTGGACGAATCTCCTTTTGCAGACTTGCTCAGAAGGAGCCTGTTTCCTCTCCTCTGCTTCTGCTGATCAAGCAGAAGACATCCTGCTCTTGAGGTTATGATAAGTTGCTTTCTGGCTGCACCACCCAGCCTTTTAGGTTTGTTAACAGCATCAAAAGTTGGAGAATGAGAAGCTTTTGCTCTTGATTCGATATCACAGGGAGGATAGTTGGGGTAATTCAGTCGATTGCTCCTAGTAATACGAAGGAAGGTCTTGAGAAGGAATTAGGCATCTTCAGAAAAGATCTTCAGCGGAATGGTTACTCCAAAGTAATTGTGAAACAGACTTTGGCTAGAAGACAGCAAAAGCCTCACAAGGAAGAGATGCCTTCACAACCAGTGCTTGTACTTCCCTACGTCAGAGGATTGTAGGAGAAGATAAATTGAAAAACAGTTAAATTAAAATACATGGTAAAAAATGCATCACTGCAGTGTCATTTTAGTTGTCACATACCTCCACTTCTACTTGAGCCTGATAAAATTGTTCCTTTGCAAGTACAGCTTCCTGTTCTGCTGATATTTTAGCTCTTTCCTGCTCCATAGCTAAGGCCATAGCCTGAAGTCGTTCGGCATGTAACTTTTCTAAAGCTTCCTTGGCTGCTATTTGATATGATTCGTTACTTTCCTGAAATGCCAGCACAAACACTGATTTAACAATATATTGTACACTTAGTTTGCAAAAAGAAAAATATTAACCATGATGTTTTCACCAATTCCCTTTTTGTTTTTATCAAAATATTTAGACGCATGAATTGAGATCGACCCAACTTTGTTCACATGTTAATAGATGGAACAAGAATTGTTTCCGAATGTAGAAATTACTGTTCGCTTAGCACCCCTGTAAATGGAATGCCGAAGTACATTGGACCTCTTAAAAAATCAAGCATGCTGTAGATCGAGATATATTGTAGGGATATATTGAATGTTGATTTAATTTAAATTCAACATTTCTTGTGATCTGAATAATTTTCATACTTCCCAGTAGAAGCTTTATATTAGTACAAGCATCAAATACAGTAAATATTCATATACAATTTATAAATTAAAGATTAAAACAACTTCATCTAATGATTCTATTGGCCTGAACATTTCAAGATCTGCTATCAAACCATGATAGAGACAGATCTGAGAAACCATATAATCTCATCTTATTTAATATGTCGTGATCCACACAATCAAATGCTTTGGAGAAACTTATAGAGACTACATCCATTTAGCCTTTTTTTTTGTCTCCAAACACCAACAGATTGGCATTTGTAGAAAACCCATGTTAATTATTAATGAAACGTTCTTTACTGTATACCAAATGCTATTGTTTTTATTTTGGTTTATATAGAGTGTAATATTTCTACCTGTAATTTGGCAAGTTCTTCTCTCAACCTGTCTTCTCCCCAACTCTTATTGGCCTGTTGAAGTTGTGTTTCCAATGCTGATACTCTAGATAGAAGCCTCTCTTCACCAACGTAGGCTTGCCAACTTTCTTCTGCAGATTTCCTAGTTTCATTTACAACGTGCTGCAAGGCGGTCAGTTTGGTTTCCAGACACTTCTCTCTTTGATTAGCTTCCTGAATTATCTGATTGAGTTTATATAGATCGTCCAAAGGAACCATTCCTGAAAAAAAATGTTCAGTTAGTTTTCCAACAAATGCAATCAACAATACTATAAGGAAATGTAAATTTGAGTGAAATTTTGTTTTTTACTAAGGGAACTGATAAAAAAAACTTTCTTCTTTCATAACAACCATCCCATGATCTTATACAAAAAATAATTTATAATAGTTGTGAAGATTGTCCCACATTTCATTTTGAACTATCTGGGCAGAATAGGAGATTGTCGGTTTATTGTAATTTCTCTTCATCTGTATTTGCTGATAAAGTATTTTCATATGACTAACCTAAATTGTGTTCTAGACAATAGTGCGAGCTAAGAAAAAGCAGTGCTATTATTTTTCTATGAGTAGGACTTTTGGTCATATGAAAGATCAACCAACTTTCTTCATCAAATAACCATAACTACCATTCTAGAAAAAACGGATAAACATAAAAGTATCTACTCTCTTGTGTCATACTACAATTTCACAAAAATATTGCAACCTAATAAGATATAGAATGGATCTATTGAGACAAGGAACATGAAAAATACCAATAGAAAGTAGAAATTTTATAAAAATCATCAAAAACATTCAGAATTCACTATTCAAATTATCACTGATTTTTTTCCTCACATTACTTACCAAAGAAATTGAATTTAGGGTTTTTTCTTCATTTTTTTCAATAATAATGTCTCTATTCATCATTACATAAAGGTTCGAAGGCAAGAATCAGTTATTTCAGCTGTTCAATATTTGACAAGAAAAAACATAAGTATGCCCAGGTGACCAGGTATATATCTAATTTATGTATATCTATTATTTTGTAATTCTTCTATTTTATAACTTACCATGTCGGTCTCCTTCTGTAACAGGGCTTGCCTTAGCTTCTTTTCCATCAGGCATGTAGAGTTTAATAGTGGCTATGATACACCCATGAGTAACTTTTCTGTTATTTTCCACAACATCTACACCAAACTGTACAATATCGCCAGAGCTGAGTTCATGATTCTCTGTTTCAGCTGATAATCGATTATTATTAACAAAGGTCCCATTACTGCTTTTGGTATCCTGTAGTTTATGAAATGTTTACAAAATATACTAATTTGGGTAATCATTAATTTCAAGAACTTGTGCTAGTTTCAGAAAAATGTTTCATTGGACTTTTTGCTTGTTGATCATAAATCTTAAGTCAAAACACAGCGTGCCAGTCTACTTTTGGAAATACTACCACTAAAAATTTGAAAAATCAACTATTTCAAGCCTCACTTCTCTAGACTTTTTCATTGATTCTGTTGACAGTGTCATAAAATTAAACAAAACATGAATGTGCTGCTGTAAATTTACATGGATGTTGAAAACATAAGAAATGCACCACCTTCATTTTTGTCATGCTATATCTTACACAATTGGTTCCATGTTTCCATTTGGGTAATGTTTCATTCAAAAGAAGGGTGAATTGACAAATTGTATCAATTTGCAGGAATAAACATGTTCAATTTTCTATGCATATAAATACACATATACAATGTTCTATATGCAATGAACAAAAATACATATGTCCAGTGAAAATTTTCAAAACTAGTGTGAACCGTTAAAACAAATAGTCACCCAAATTTGATAAGACATCAATAAACAAATCAGACAATGTATCATTACCTGTAAGAAAAATTTCCCATTTTCATACCACAGTAAAGCATGGTGTCGAGACAGCACTTTACAATCAAAAATTGCATTGGTAGAAGTCGGTTTAGCTCTGGCTACAGATCGACCTATTTTCACAGATTGATCAAGAGCTAATGTCCGTTCTTGAAAGAGATGGGAATTGGGGCGACAACTAAGAACAGCTTTGGGTATCATGGTTACTTGGGATAATTCTACATCACTGTTATTGGTCGATGTGGGGTAAACAGCAACACTTTTCACCCAATTTCCGCTTACAACAACCATTGCCTAAAAATGCTCGATTTCAGAATTCAATTCTTTTTTTAAATATACTCAAAAATCCATTTACATTTGTTGATAAATTGGAAAAAAAATCAGTTGAGACACCTAGAAAAGATATATTCTTCCTCACCTAGAAAACGTTAACAACCCAGAGCTAGCTTTTTCCCAACTTTTTCATAACATTAAAAAAAGCCAGACTGAAAACGTCAAAACTTGTGGGCGTGAATTTAGTGTTGAATGGTTTCAATTAAGGAAATTAAATTTCATATCTAATGTTACTAGTTACCAGATAACCATATCCTCTGTGGATATTTGTTGACTCGCATTTTCTAACTGGCATAAATACAATTTCTATTTGTGACTTAAGAATGATGTAAGATGAACAATATTTTTTTAATAGTTTTCATTTTTTTATTTGACATTTTACTGTAAAGTGTAAACGTTAAAAGCAAAGACAGAAAATCTCTTTGTGTCTTGTGTCAGATAGTTTGACAGAGGACAGATTGAATATGTTCCGTAAATCAACTTGGTTACTTTGGTTGGTTATTTCGTGTCCCGTAAATGTCATATTCCTGAAAAACTGGTAAATTTTTCCTGAAGTTTGGTTGATTATCTGTCACCGAAACGACCGATGATTACAGATCGGTGAATCCCTCAGAGGGTGAGTCCGGTGAATTGATTGTCACTTGTCATTTTTTTATTTTTTGTGACTGTTTGCTCTGTGAAAGTTTGAATTTAATCCTATTTTATAATTATTTTTCTGAAAGCATAATGGAAATTAATGTGATTTTTTTTCATTACATTTGTACGGGAGTGTTTCGGATATCTATAGTATTCAAAAACAAATGGAGGGGTTTATGTATTCATATTTTTTTAAAGCAGTTAACATCAGACGATATTGTTTCATTATTTCCCGATTCAGTATCATCAAATAAGGGAACATTTGCAAGATAATTACTGGAACCTTTGATGTAGATATTTGATTCTTGAAACCGAAATTAACTTGTTTTTTTTGTTTTCGGGTGTAATTGAATCTGCGTTGTAATGAAATAGGTTTCAATAATCATTATTGTTTTCAGGAAGATCAGATTCTGTTTTGTGGGCACTGCAATATCGAAATTGGAAAATTGTCAGTAGTGTCCGACCGAAACTGATTTTTACGATCGAAACCGAAAACGAATTTCGGCAATGGTATCAGTTTCGGCCGAAACCAAACTTCCTTACGAGGATTATGTTTTGAGAGAAAAATAAAGAAAAGGTTATTTTAATCAGTAAGACTTCATTTTTTTATTTTTAAATCACTACATTATGCAGTCTTCGACATTTTTACTTATTGATAATCAACATAAAAACCCTTATTCAAGAAAAAATATTAATTGCACCTTAAAAATACTTAAAATAGGTGAGGTGTTCATTTGAGTAGATTTAGATCCTTTTTTTGAATATTATTGATACGTTTTCAAAAATATTAAGCATAAAATAACTTATTTGAGTTGTTAACTACTATCACTTGTATGAATTTTAACCAGCCAAACATGACCGATCACAGCGCGGGAACTCTCGAATGCAGTTTCGGTCGTAGTTTCGGCAGGTTTTCCGCCGAAACCGAAACTCGTTTTTTTGCCGAAATTCGACCGAAACCGAACTTTCGGTCGGATACTAATTGTCAGAAATCATTGCCAATGATATGATTGCAAATCATCCTTGTTTTTTAAACTCAGAAAATGTCAACATTGACTTTTTAACAAAAAACATATATTCTGATGCCATACCCGAGACCCCTCCAGATCCGAAAAATAATTTTGAATTACCACACTGTGACCCTGTCCATCCTGAAGTTTTTTCGAAATTTGACGTCTGTATAAAAATCCACTACTTCCTCTATAAAATTGACTCTAGGTCAGGGCACTGTAAAACATAACCATTGTAATATTCTCCAAATTCAAATGAATTTAGTGATACTCAAAACATTACCCATGATACCTCGAGCTCGCAACCCATCTTCCTCTTCGCTACTTGAACTATCACTGTCAGTGAGTAATTTGTTCCAAAAAAACATTGCTATGCGATCCATTAAAATAAAAATTGAGGTAATCCAAGAATTTTGTATAAGTACAAATCAAGTTAACGCACCAAAGCAAATCAAAGTGACAGTTGATAGAATTAAGTTGTCCCGTAAAAAACGTTCGTTGGTGCTAAGCATAAACTGAAAAGTAGTTACCAGTCCGGTGAGTCTGGGCGATTAACGGAACATACGCATTGTTTTAACAAACAAGTTGAGTTCGGATATCAACACCAATAACTCTTTTCACTCCTTATTCGCTCGGATTTTAAAAACGGAATGAACGAAGTGCAAATTTGATTTTTCAGAAATGGAGTAAAAATAATTACTTCTTCTACTCCTTCAGTACCGTCTTCTGAAGTAGACATGCACATTTGCAATGGTTTTGGAGTATTTTGAATTTTTATGCACTGGCATTACAGCATTAGGGACGGAACTCGCTTCGTTACTCTTTTTCATGTTCATTTTCCACATCTAGAACACATATGTGTGTTCTAGATGTGGACCATCTGCTCCTGGGAATACCACAACAATCCATCCTTTGGGCCAGTGATTTCGTGATAGGTCGCCGTCAACTGAAACAACTATATCGCCAACCTTGATATTCCGATGGTTTCTCTGGAACCATTTAGTTCTCCATTTTAACGNACAAAAATAGTCACAAATATCATAAAAATAATCAATTACATTGTAAAAGGTAACCTAATAGAAAAATGCATTAAAATTGCACAAAAGTTGGTTCTAAGTAACAAAATAGAAAAATATTTCAACAAAATGCAATCAATTACAATTTTCCAAATGAAAGTTAGTAGCATTATCAAAAATTTTCTGGTTACCTCGTAACAAAAATATATTTTGGTATGAAAGTGACAATGCTACCAACTCTTAACAAATCAAATACTTATACCTAATGAAAATACAATCACAGACAAACAATAAATAAAGGAATGCTATAAAACCTGGTTTTTCGTTTTCCATAAGTGTTAAAAGAAAAGAAATATAATTGAATATTTCGAAATTATTTCTAATAAAATTTCAATCAAAGCTTAATTATAAAATCATATAAATATCTCTCAGAAGACTAGCAATAACCATGAACAACTAGTAATAACCACGAAAACTGTAGATAATTTCATGAGGGGGTACTAATGTTTTTGTTTGTGCCAGGAGAATACAGTGATGTAACCCTATTAACGTCGTCAAAACAAAACCACATTCATCATAAAATATTTTATCTTGAACAATCAATATCTAACTTAGTATATCATTAAACACTTTTTAAAAAATATGAGGATTTTTAAAGCTTAAAAAGATTCACACATAAAGTCTGGTGGACAGGCCATGATGTAATCTGTGAGACTGATCAACTTGTGCGTTGTTTTCATTGGTCTAGTTATTGAAATTCAAATAGGCCGCAAATGTTAATTTCTTGCCTGCAAAATTTACAACGGTTTTTTTTCTTGAAACAAACTATGACCTCATGCACTTTTTTGAAATGCAAGGATATATTGGAAAACAACTTACCACACAATTGATGATCCGAATTATTCTCGTTTTCAGTATCAGAGGGAGAAATATCAAGTTTTTCATTAACACCAGAATCAGCAGAGTCATCTGAAATAATACCACCTTGAGGCAGTTGAGAAACACATTTAATAGTAATAAACATTGAAGTAAATTAAATTTTATATTATTGCATATACTCTTCTCTCATTTGTGTCCTAGTATTTCGTAGAAATTTGTAGAAGTAACAGAACGAAAACAACAAGTTGTATGCTGAAATCCATCCAACACATATTTCTTTGAAAGACTTATTTGCTAATGACTTTTATAAATGAACAGTTAATACAGAGTGATTTTCTTTAATGTTCCCCCCTTTTAATTTTTTGAACGGGTCAACTCAAAAAATTGAAATTTGGGATCATGAAATTAATGCATGAATACTTTATTTTGAAGTGAAATTGACAGATGAAACTTTCAAGATGGCGACTGGGCGCCATCTGGGAAAAAAATTAAATGGAAAGGGGGGTCTTGTGACACATCTTTCTGAAGCTCCTGACAAATGCTTCACCACCCTATGTCAATATCTTCAACTACTACAAAATGGCCGAACTTTTAATATTTGCCTGAATATATTAGCATTTAACTACATAATATGAAGTAATAAGCTTGAGGTCAGTTCAGAAGATGCTCGAAATGGTTGTCTTGAACTTCTTGACATATAAACAGCCTATCCGATATTTCACGTCGAACATTTTCGAACACAGTAACGTCAATATCTCTACAAAAATTCATTATTCTCTGCCGTATATCCAATATTGAAGCAGGTTCAGCTCCAAACAGCCCCATAAAAAGTCCAAAGGTATCAAATCTGGCGAGATGGCTGGCCATTCTGTAGGACTCGACAGCCAATCCAACGACAGGGAAAAGTAGTATCCAAATAGTTTCTTATTTGTCTGGAGTAATGTGGTGGAACTCCATCTTGTTGGAATACAATATCCATATCAAATTCATTAGGATTCGCTTTGAAGATTTCAGTGATGAGAGGGTCAACAATAGTTTCCAGCATATTCAAATACAGTTCCCCTGTTGAATTTTGATCAATAAATGGAGGTCCTACGATATGGTTTCCCAATTCCTACCCAAACGTTAAATTTTTCTGGATATTGAGAAAACCGAAAACTAAATGAGAATATTCTAACTGAAAATTGATGTTCGTTGTCGTACTGACATTTTTTGTCTTTTTTATGAACAAAAAATAACTTAACAAACCTTATCGGGTTGTTGGACTTGCCATATGGCAGAATAAAAGGATATTAATGTGTTTGTCTTCAGGAAATTATTAAATGTTCCGCCATTTTGTAGTAGGTGAAAATATTGACTTCATATTCTAGGGTTGTGTAATAATGAACAGTGCCATTGATTTGGGGCCAAAATTTACAATTATGCATACGAAACTTACTGTGTGGACTACAGTTCATTAGTTTTGAGAAACAACTATTGGTGTGGTATAAAATAATTGAAACTATAGAAACTTTTCAATAACAAAAATGTAAACAACTATTGAACAATAAATTGGTGGATGTAGCCGTTACTACGTGGTAGGAAATCATAATAAAGAAAAGATAATTGAAAACTTTCTTAACTGTTGAATAGTCTGATTAATTTTTTTTTCGACGACTCATGTTTGTAAGCTTTGATGTATTGTTTGCAAGTTATCATCCACCTCTCTCTAACTTATCACAAATGTTAACTGTTACATAAAATAAATTGATGGATGTAGCCGTTACTACGTGGTAGGAGATTATAATGAAAAGAGAAATGAAAATTTCTATGTTTTTTACCACTTTCAATTGTAACTAACGTTACTGCAGTTT